AGCCCTCGTGCCTTCTTCGTGTGGCATGGCGGGCACCGAATGTGCTACAGCTGAACAAACGAACACTTCCCACTGCATTGTTCAGTTCCAACAATATACTCTCCGAATTAAGCAATGACCATCACACTGGGCTTTTGTATGTAGCCAGAAACGTCACAGACGACGTGTACTGTCAACCTAATACTCAACGGGGAACTATTGCATTTGGGGCAGTAAGTTCTTTCACTTTCTTTCCCTGAACTGTCCCTCAGGTATATCTGATCATTTTGTGACGGTTTGTGCCTCCGTGACCCATTGAGCTATACTGGGTGGTGTCGGTACGACGCTCATCAGGTTGGTCACTGATTAGAGGTCTGACTAACACAGCCTCCTAGCCCTTCAGGTTGGGGGTTAGAACACGTGTGGTGACCCGTTCTATAAAACGAGTAGTGCACTTGCATTTCACACCATACACGGCTGCCTTGCGATCAGGTTTTTGAGCCAAAGCCTTCGGTTAAGGACCCCAATTATTGTCCCGTCACTGTGTGAGTGTCCTCGACTTACAGCTGCTACCTTGACGTGGTAACGAGTAGTTTGCATTTCACACCATACACGGCTGCCTTGCGATCAGGTTTTTGAGCCAAAGCCTTCGGTTAAGGACCCCAATTATTGTCTGTCCACTGTGTGAGTGTCCTCGACCTACAGCTGCTACCTTGACGTGGTGGTCGGGCTTCAGTGCTGCAATGATCCCGCGGGCTACACTGGCTGGAACTTCGTTCCACAAGGTACAACCATGCCAGGAAGGCCAAAGGGGAGCAGCCAGACCAAGAGCAGCGAGACCCCGTACTACGAGTAATCGTGCTACGAGGCGGTCTGGGGGTAAATCCGTAATGTCCTCTGCGACAGGAGTGTGAAGGCAGTAAGGTGTTTCCCCCAGGCGACCAGCATGTCCATATTTATGGAAGCAGCGATGCTGCCTTCCCCCGAGGAAGGACGGGTTAGAAAAGGTCGGCCCCAAATCCGCACACTCCGATCGCCCAACGGTTGACCGTGACCGCCGGCGCATTATCCAATACGGTCGAAATACTTTTAAAACCAAAGAGCCCGGTG